AACAGCTGGTCCCTATGAAGTACAACCAGAAAGATGTTCTGCATGATTAACTTTGTTTCTCCCTTTATTCTGACTGCAAATGAAGGTAGCACCTCATGTTGTTAGCCTTTTCAACATCTATTTTGGACAAATAATTTAAGCGGTTATAGGGATGAATAACTGAATAATGACATTTTTTCAAATTATTTTATTTTTTATAAATAATTTGGGTTTTTAACAGAAGTCAAATGATTATAGTTGTAAATCAAACAATCAAAACAAGCGATATTGCATGTATATTAGTTTAGATTAGATAACATTCATGTTTTTTGGGCTGTTTGTTTCTAGCTTTTATAAGCTTGTTTATTTATTAGTCTATTTTTTATTCGGTTTTTGTGATGGTCTGTTCTGTTTGATCTTGTGATGGACTGGCATATTACTTCACCTATTCAAAGCATCGACACCATTCACAGGTACATGAATGTTATTTCAACATCTGTGAAGACAAGAAAGGATAAAGCATCAATTTGCCCAAATTATCAAAATTTACGAGGGCAAAAGATGAAATAAATTCTGTATCTACTGCCTTGTCTTGCCTGGAAGGAACATTTTATATGTTTGAATAATCTATCATACAATTCAAGGTATAAACATCGATTCTTTTTCACAGACCCTCCCTTTTTTCCACTTAAATTCTTAAATTTACATTTAAGTATGTATATAGTGAAGTATTCATCACATCTTTTTCTTTTAGCGTGGCAGGTTTGTTTCAAAGCAGGAGATTTCCATCAAGTATTGCTACTGTAGCTATTGTAAAGGTTGAGAACATGTTCTAGCACCGATGTAATCGGATATGTGAGGATGTCGGTGGCTTTGCTTCAGTCTTTCTGACATTGTTTTATTTGAAGAAGCTGACCTGTGTGATGGCGATAAGAAGCCTCCGCTAAATTCTAAGAGGTCAAGTACGGGATCGGCCTGTCTGTCATGGATTCAGAGAGACAGCTCTTTGTTTGGCCTCCTCTGAAAAGCTCATCTGTCTTCTGCCTCTGATCTCCTCAGGCTGCAGGCCGAGCCGGGGAGGGAGCGTTAGCACAGCACTTTGCCCTCTGATAGCAGGCTACAAAGAGGCTGCACTGCGCTGTAACATGGAAAATAGCAGGAGAACTGGACGGCCTCTCTCCAGCGTAGGCTCCCCATCTAACACCAGGCAGAGTATTTTCCCAGCTGTGGCCTCTGTAAACGGGTAGGCTAGAACAATATTTTTTTGGAACAAAAAGCTCATGCGTGTATTTTTATTCAAAGGTGGTAACTGATAAATGAGCAAAGCAAAGCTGAAACAACTTAAAAGGACACCGGCTGTCATGCTTTTCTGTTTCACCATGCTAATAGAGAGCATTTTATAGTTGAGGGGATGTAAAACTCTGTCATTTTTTCCTACTTAAAAATATTTGTTTAATTATGGTTTATTGTTGTTTATGGGACAGGAAATCAAAATGTATTGCTTGATCTTTTGTCTCACGTGGCCTGCTTTTTCAAAGAATTACCAAAACCCAACCATTCTTAACACCACGTTGGCCTTGCTCATGCAGAGGAGGTGGTGCACTGCCATCTTGTGGCTTCCAGATTTTGGAGGTTTTATCATAGGCTATTCACTCAGTTTGTACTTTTTGTCACTGTTTCTAATGTGTTTGAAGTGGGCTGAAGTCTCATGAGAGAAGGCTGAAATCCTGCAGAGCTGTACAGTTTAGACAAAGACATACTCCACCAGTCCCAAAGCTCCCACATATGGCACAAGAGCCTGGGAAGAAAGAAGCCACTCAGTTTTTGAAAGAAGTCATAGTCACATTTATTTATAAAGCACATTTAAAAATAACTCTTAATTGGGGAGAAAACTGTATATTAGCAAGCAGAACTGGTCTTGATCAGTATGCGTTTTATGGCGTGTCTGTTCACTTTATCACCTTTATTCTAAACAAGCACATCCACAAACATGAATGTTAGGTCAACTGGACACTCCAAATTGCCCGTAGGAATGAATGTGAGTGTGTATGGTTGTTTGTGTCTGTGTGGCCCTGTGATGGACTGGTGTACCATGGTGTACCCCCCTCGTGCCTTTTGTCTGCTGGGATGGGCTCCAGAACCCCTGTGACCACTTTAGATGGAGGTGGAAACAGCTATAAGCACGAGCTACTTCATAATCATCTAGCAGCAAGACATTGAAATGAGAAGATTCAGGGGGGCAGAGCAGTGCCAAACATATTCCCCAAGGAGAGTCAGAGAGTTTGGTGAGTATTTCAGAAGGACAGTGACCTGAAGAACACATGTATGTTCAAGAAAAAGAAAGTCATTTAAAAGCTATATTGTGGAGGGCACGCTTTTGAACAAAGATCCTCTGAAAGATGAAAAAATGTAACAGCACGAGACAGCATCTAAAGATAGTAACACGAGTCAGACACTAGAATAATTAGTCAAAGCATCAAACAAATATTGGTGTAGGGCATTAAACATATGCACTGTGTATTTTGTATATTTTGCTACGGTAAAGCTTTTACTGCTCCACAGTTTATCAATTTAAGAAACTTTTAATGTGCAGATTTAGTTAATTTTATTCAAATGTTACCAAACAGAGCTGAACTCTTTGCTGAAGCTAGCTCAGGTTAAACTGCAAACTGCAGGAACTTGCTTCTTCTTTTGCCCTCCTATTTTCCTTTCCATGCTTCCTCTCCATAAATCTAGGAAAGGCAACTTTCAGAAAATCAATATGGAGCTAAGATTCAGAAGTGACGATAATTCAGTCCGTTGCGAATTAAGACACATCAATCCCCAGGCTATTTGCCACCATAAGAAATCAGCAGACTGGAGAGTTTTTACTGGAGAAATCTGCAGCTCACTCTCTGAAGGAACAGAAATCTACAGAGAGCACAGCTGAGACGCAGAAGAGGGTTACATCTTGCTGCGTTAGTGTACGGTTTGTGTATTTTGGTGCACGCCTTCTGTGCAGGCTCTCAGAGATCTTACAGCTTCAGTTAAAACGGCCCACATCGTGCTGTAAACCAAGACCAGCTGCATCACCATGAACATGTTTAGAGAGGAGAGCTGAGGTTTAGTATAAAAAGGCCAACATGTGCAGACCTTAAAGACCATACAGCAGCATAACTTGATGTTTGAAGGAATATATGTGAGACTATATTAGAGAAGGTTTGGAATTGGATCTATTGAGCTCTGCTCTGGTGATTCGACTGTGCTGCAAAGCTGCAACCCTGAATTTAAGGTTATTTGTCGGTATGAAAGAACATCATCCTCACTGCAGTGATCCTTTGTCTGTCTGTATGTGCATTGACTATTAACACTGCTCTGGGTTTGCTGATACTGACTAAATGTGGAATGGGATGGAGATCACTGCTGCCCAGGTCCAAACCCGCTCCTGCGCAGCCTTTTGTCATGCATACATACACGCAACACCCCCCTAGGGGACATACAAATTGGCTGGAACTGAAGTTACATGCCAATCTTTAGTAGAATTATACTTGACCTCTACTGTAACTCCTCACTAATTAACCGTCTTGGTGCTTCAGAGGGAGCATTAAAAAGAAGACCTGTATCGTAGGAGTTGACCGGTCAAAAGGCTTAAAGTGGGGAGCTCTCTGAGTCAGAGGCTGCCATATTCAGCACATTTACCGACATAAAAACCGTAAGTGAATCTGTCAGCGGACAACTTTCTCCAAATTGAGTTAAAAGCATCAGTCCTGTCCTGGGTAGTGTGTAAAACAGCCTGACTCACACCCTGCTCAGATGGCATCCGTATGGGGATGAGTAACAGCCGGCATGTTTCTGATATATATATTTTTTAAGTGAATATCACATGCATGAGATGCAGAGACAAAGGTTATGGCGAGGCCAAAATGGAAAGGGCTTCACTTTGATAATCACTCGAGACACTAAATCTGGTAGAAATCTATTTATGGATATGATGAGAATTGATGAACTGTGCATATTCAACAATCCAACTCGATATCCGCGACTTCACGTGGTGTGGAATCAGCATGTTGGAGGCAGAGAGACGAGTGCCTGTCCTGGATGATTACCGGCCTGTGCAATTCCATAGTGGATGTAATCTCAGTCAGCTGTGATTACTATTACAGCACAACACCACTTCATTAACAGCGCTCACATTATTAGTGTCCTTGACATTAGCTACCAAGGAATCAACATAACTGCGTGCTCATGCTAAGAAAAAAACAACATATCCTTTGTTGGAAACTCTGAGCTATCAGTCTGGCGTTTGTCTGAAATCTATTTTGTGTGTGAACACGTGTGTGTGTGTGTATGTGTGTGTGCATACATAGCTCTGTTTTTCCCCGCGCACATTCTCCTGCCTGACTACACCTTGGTTTGGACGCTGTTACCTGGTGAGGGTGTCAACAACAGCACCGTCTGCATGTCTTAATAGGAGCGCGGTTCAACGTGGCTCTAACAATCTGCAGTGTACTGCGCTCCCTCTCTGGTTTGGGCTCATTTTGACCTATTTTTCCAGCCAAAAATGACAATATCCCCCCTACAATGAATTGGAATCTCCCATAAAGTTGCCTTAGTACAGCTTAATATTTTACATTTCCTGTCTGCTTTGTGGGATCACTAGCTCATGATGCAATGTCTGTGCAAGGCATGAATATCTTGGCATGCTTGACAATACATAGTAAGATAATGTTGAAATACAGTTTTTGTCCCAAAAATTCATCTACAGAAAGGAGCTCATCTCTGACTCAGCCCAGTGGTGTTTTTTTTTTTTTTTTGTAGCCAGCAGATGTAATGCGTATAGCTGCTCCTGATGAGACTTTGAATAAAGTCTTGTGTGGTTTTAAGGCCACTACAGAAAAAAAATGCATTGATTCCAGCGGAGAGAAAGATTTGGGGAGGGGGGGGGTTACAAGGTTGAGTGTAAAAGGAGAAGAGGCAGGGGAAAAGAGAAGAGATCGAGTGAAAACAAAAAATGGGAGGGAGGGAGAAGAGAAGGCATGATAATGAGCCCTACCTCTGACACATCCTCCTGTTTCTATGGAGACCAAGGAGCCAATGGAATGGCCCTGCTGAGGACTGTACTACTAAGAGCAGATGAGAGGGTGGAGAGAGGTGTCTGCAGATGCTTCTCTTGAGTCTGTAAGAGGCAGTTAAAGTCAAATGAATCTCCCAGTGGATGCACCACAGGCTATGTCCTCCTGCATCCCTTTATGTGTGGCAGCCATTTCTGGCAGAAACTCTTTGAAGAGTTACAAATCGTCCTTTATGCTTTAGAAGGCACTCGCTCTGCTTCTTGGCTCGACAACACCCCTCTCATCACTTCCTCCTGTATTAGCAGCCCCCCCCCTACCCCCACCCGCCTCTCCCCATCAGCTGCCAGCCTCTTGGATGCTCCACGTTACATCACACACACACACACACACTGCTCTGTGGCAGCCCATGTTTGTGGCTGGGAGGGAGCGGGAGAGTGAACGCGAGTGAGCCCCGTGCCGCGCACGCCGTCCCACCACCGAGTCCCACCGACCCAGAACGCAGGATGGACAAACCCAGCGTGTGGCGCGCCGTGGTCAGCAGCACGGACCCGCGGCGAGCCCGAGACCCCGGGGGCCACCCCAGCAGACCGGGCTCCGCCATGGGTTACCGGCTCTACGACATGTGAGTACCGGGGGGGGGGCTGGCGTGGAGAGCCCTGCATTTCCATTCATAGGGAGAGGAAGCGAGTGGGAGGCTGCGGGGAAACGCGGAGTCTGCCTCTCCACGCTCCGTGCTGAGTCACCTATGGCATCCAGACCTTGCTGTGTCCTCTCGTCTTTTTGCTTCCTGTGTTCTTTGTAAACAACGTCTGTCCCCTCGGGAGGGGAGGGGAGGGGGGAGCTGCAGCATATGTTTACATGAATGGCTTTCTCATATTTCACCAAGATGAATAGACGCCGCGTGTGTTAATGTAAAGTGAAGGCGCGGCGAAGTGTTGTTTTGTGTTTGTGAGCCTAACGTTATGACTGCGATCACAACGGAGTCATGTGGAGGATGGTTTTAGAGCCCCGGGTGGTGGAGGAAAATGACTCATTTCAGGGTGATGCTGTGACAGCTCGTACTGGGCACACGAGCTCCTTGCGGCGTCTGCTGTATTTTTCTTGGTGGGTGTGATTGTGTTCTTGTGCGTGATTGGTACCCTGTGTGTTTGCGTGTTGAATATCCAGTATGTGTCCTTCTCTGTGGAACATGCGTCTGGGTGTAAACTGTTATTTCGGCATAGCGACGAGTCCAGCAGTCAGTCGGTGTGTGGGAAATCTTCCAGGTCTGCATCCGTAGATCTTGCGAATTCTGATAGAAAATGAAAAATAGTTTGATAGGGATTTTATTAATCAATTTAGCTTTTGACGGCGGCGTTGTGTTGCATAAGAACTCTTTGCCCACAGTCTGCCATTGCAGAGTACACAACCCCATCAGCTGAATAAGCATTTTTGCCTCTTTATTTCTCTGCAGATGTGCTCTCAAGTCTCTTTCCTTGTTGTCGAGTGTGCAAGTATCACCATGCAAGCGACTAATATGCACACATGTATTCAGCAGCTGAAGGAAAGCGCGTAGCTGAATGACCATGTCCTGCCATGATCTACTACATGCGTGATCAGTCACCTTAATGAATGAGACCTTCATGGCTCTCCACTGACTCCTTCATGTGGGATCTACTGCTGACATTTCATGGCTTAAATCAATGTCTCGTTTCTGTTTCACATGCACAACACTCACTGGTGCATAATTGCTTCCCTTCCACTCTCAGGTTTCTTCAGCGTACCACAAATTTGACTAGATACTTGGAAACACCTATTCCTGTTTTTGCTGTTTATGCTATCAGATTGTGGCTGATTTCTTTCTTCACTTTTCCCTCACGGCTTTAATTCAAGGAAAGCTTTAACTGAATAGAGTCAGTTGATTTTTGCCAGGGGCTGGACCTCACAGAGCTGGAAGTCTGGGGTGAGCCGATGGTTTTGTGAAACATTGGTTGTTAAGGGGACAGAGGAGATGTGCAGCAGATTGACACTAATGTGTGGCTTTTCTGTCTGACAAACAGACTCAGACTCCGTGCTTGCTCTATACTCCTTTAATGAGGAGGAGTTAGATGAGCCTGGTCTGTTGTAAATGTCACTTCATCGTAGTTGGCAGCTCCCTGCCCCTCAGGAATTCGAACGCTCTGCATTTAACACTGGAGGGCCAAGAGAAGAAGGTTGACCTGGGCTTTGCCAACGGCTTTCCTGCCCTTTTAAGGATACTACTCCTGAGTAGTCTGACCTAAAGGGAAGTTGGTGTGTATCTTGTTAAGTTTAGAACAGTTGAATAAGCGTACGTGCTCTATTTCTTGTAAGAATATATGAAAAAAGGGCAACTCCAGCTTTCACAGCAGTGTACATAATTGGTGGTCACACATTTCAAAGGTGCAAAACCAGGCAGCTTGACCTTAAGAGAGACTGAATTTTACAGCACAGGTTTTAACCGCATTGTACCATGACACTTCTGTAGTATCGTTAAATTCACAGCTCATAGGTTTCTTATGTCTGAGGGATTATTGCTTTGATCCGTAGATATTTTGCTACAGCTTGGATGCTCAGCTTTTTTTTTTCACCTCATGCGTGAAATGAAATGCTTGCTTTCTAATAATAGATTTTTGTACTTTATTGTCTATTACCCTTTCATGCAGGGGGCCTTTTATCATCATACACAGGCCTTTTTTTCCTTTAGTTTTGTGATTGCTTGTCTATATTTGGCAGCTTGCTGAGCATGTACCACTTCATGCACACGGGGACAAGTAAACATTGACGGGCTTTATCCTTCATTGAGATAATGTCACGTGTTCTCAGAGGGCATTCATGCCATGAACCCTTTTCAGTAGGAATGTCCATTTTCCCCCTTACTGGCTAAGACATTCCAAATGCAATGCCCCTGCTCGAGTGACGCCAGCACCGATGAAAAAGAGTGTGCGTCACCAGCGCTGTAAGGCTCTGACAGCACATTCCCTCACTGTAAGCCTGAGCCTCTGACAGCGGAGTGTGCTCGTTGTGCAGACTGAGGGGAGCGCACAAAGACAACTGCCAGCATTGCTCTGAAAATGCCTCCTCTGCAGACAGCAGCTGTTGGATGCATGGTGCTGTTGCCCAAGACAACAACTGCATACGAGGTGGAGCGTTGCCAGCACACAGGCCTGCATACAGCTCCCTGTCAGTTTACATGACATCAGTACACAGGGGCACAACGCGTAGTACACAAGTCGCCTGTTAGAGCCGAGGCAAGTTCTTGGGATGCACATCCAGGCCTGTCACCGTGAAAAAGCCTTTAATCTGGTCAGAGTTTGATATCTGCAATATCGCTGCTGCGCGCATCTGCTGTCATACTGTAACGGGGACAAGATTGCGTTTATTTAAAAAAATGCATTTCTAACTGAGTCTTTATGCTAAGATATCTGTAAAGCTATGCTTGATTAATTCTTATTTTCTAATATTGATAGAATATTCAATTATGAATGGCCGAAAAATGGATTGTAGAGGGGGTCAAGAATAATTTGACCCCTGTGTTTCAGCATGGCTGTAGAAGGACTTTGCAAAGATAGCCCTTTTTAGCAAAATAACCCAAACTTTGCTCAAGCTGAGGCCTCGCAACTGTGATTTCTGCAGGAAAAACCTCAGCTGGGCAGCTGCTGCCCGGCACTCAGTTTTGAGCGGCTAACTTTGCAGCTGGAGCTGTGTCAGCCGTGTGTGACGATGGTCAAACCAATGGGAGCTGCACGGTTCTCAGGGGAACATCTCTGCCAGCTGGAATCTCCTCCGGGTAGCCGCTCGTGCGGACGCATTTGGTGGTTTGAAAACTGCCCGTAATAAGCCCCTGCCTTTTGCCAGGAGCAACATCAGAAGCGACAGTGTAGAGGAGAGCGGGACGCTGTGGAAAAGGATGCCTCCCCAGAACATTTTGTTCCTCTGGCAGAAATAAAAACAGACACAAGGATGTGTTTCTCAACAGCAGCGATGCATGATAACAACCTAACTAGGACTACTTTGAGATTGTTATTTTGCATTTTGATTCTAGTTTCGAGATGCAGAACATCAGTCGTGTGAATGTGCAGCCATGGATTTCTTTCATCTTTGCCCTGCTTTCTCCTGGTTTTGTCTCTCCACCCACTTTGTCCTGGAACTGTGCTCTGCATGGCTGCTCTCATGCTGGCAGCGAGACGACAGTTCTGAACGATGTCTGTGATGCAGGAGCTTAGATTCACAAAAAAAAAACCTTCAGCGTATGATTTTCCCCCGTCTCCTCCTCTGAAAAACTATCTCTACAATATAAACTGCCATGTTTGTGGGATATTTCTCTAGGCTCTGTGGCTCCCTCTGTGCCAGTAATGATATATTCAAACTGATCACATGAATCATGTTTTTTTTTTCTTAGAGAAAAAATAAAGAGGAAACAGAACTGTTTGAACCCCTGGTGAGGTTTACATTTGTACAGCAAGAAAATGTTTGTGTTTATCCTTTCTGTTTAACTGTATCTTAAAACACTTTATGTGGTAAAGGCATGTGAATTTGCTTGCCTGATGTCTGATATCTGGTGTTTCTTGAATGCCTCTTTGATGAAGTCTGAAATGGGAATAAATTTGCTCGCTGGTGCTTTGTGTGCTGATGTTGTTTGAACAAATCAGCAAGCCTGTCAGACTCCTCATTGCTGCGATCACATCACAAGCTCATTTTTTCTTCAGCTTTTAAGGCACGGAAGCAGCTGCAGTCTACCACCAGGGGGGGAACTTTTCCTATTCATTCCAACCTTCACACAGAAATACTTACTCATGCTCTTTGAAATAGTAAATGTGACCATTTTTTTCATCTGTTTTTACCTTTAAGCTAATGATTGCAATGTGTCATGTAGACACTAAAATTGGTCTTTAGCAGGCTCCTTATTCTCTGGACAGACTGGCTTCTCTGATCACTGCTTTCCCTCCAACCTCTTTGGCACTTCTCTCTCTAAAGCAGGCCATTTTCTTTGTATTTGTTTATCGACCCTATGTCCTGCTCCAAGAAGAAAGTGGTGGAAAATAATATATTTATAATCAGTGTGAAGGGAAATCTGAGTGAAATGCTCAATATCGGCTTGTGTCACTGCAGACGGGGATAATGTAGCAGCAGCATGGACACAATAAGAACTTGAGAAGTTTTTTTTTTTTTCCCAAAGTGAGAACATTTGTTCAGATTGATAACCGAACAGGGATGAAACACTGAGCGTGTGTATCGATCCAGCTGCATTGCAGCAGGGATTCAATTGGAAAAGAGTGAAATGCCTGTGCCCACTTGATTTTCTCAAATATTGGCTTACCGGCAGGCTCTTTCAGTGACTGAATTGACTTGTTTGATGAATGGAACTGTGGGGAGAGTCATCTTTTCTAATGGTGATACAGGCATCATCATGTAAGCATGTAACCGCACTGACACATCTTCATCAGGCGTCGTTGTTTGTTACTGGGCTCTCTTTGATGCTGTGGTTTTCATGCCTCACCAAGCAGTTAAAGCTAAGGGCTAAAACTATTTTAGAAATGGCAGGTAACATCAAAAATATTGACTAGCTTCTCCCTTTGCCCTCACTCAACATGTCTTCCACATATGATGATATTCAGTCCCATT